CCTCAACATCACATGTGTGCCCTTCAGGACAGCAGTGTATCTTATCGTCGCAGCACACAGCCTAATTACACAAAAAATGAAGTGTCACCTTAAAACCACACATGATAAGACATAATAAAGTCATGATTACCTGACATTCAATTCCATTATCTCCATTATATTATAGAGTAACATAAGCATTTCAAAGCTGTCCCCCTCTGCATGATTATGATGAAAAGTTCAGTTGGTTTGTACTGGTTTGTACCGTTGGCATTGGGCAGCACCCATACGTTCCATCTGTCTTTAGACAGCAGGTGGTTTCATCTGGACACTCTGACACGCCGTCACTGCACAACACTGTAGTCACTACCTCTGCAACAAAATAATGGGAGCATTTACAAATATTCAGTTTATTTCAAAGTAAACCCCTTATAAGATTATGGAATGTTTATTTGTACAGGATCTTTAAAGCACAAGCCAATTCAAATTTACATTTTGAAATAATTTACACAAGACATACATTGAAAATGAGAGAAACAACAGGTGCAACATGTGAAAAATAATTTTAAATGTAATTTCATAAAAGGCAGACCCAGAAAAGTTGTTGGCCATGATTTAAAAGAGATCCATAACTCGTTCACGAGTCCATAACTACCAAGACTCTAAACTTAGTTTGCTGTCTTAAATGGTAACGACTGTGGCTGAGCACTGACTTTTTATCGTTCTTCTTTGGCTACAAAAAACAAGTATTTTTGTTTACCTTGTCTAACAGTAAGACCTTTTGTCATATCCAATCAATTATTTGTTAAATGCACTTGTGGGGGTCCATATAACTATGGTAAGGTATTTTGCTGTTTTCAATAATCTCAACTAGTGATAGCAACTAAATTAAAAGAATAGGTCAAGGACAGGTGTAATTTTTGACATTCAGACTGTCTAATAATATGATGCGGAAGAGAATTTAGTGTACTGTAATGACCTTTCTTGATGCAGGAACGACAGTCAGCGCTGCACTGGTGGCCCTCAGGACAGCAGTGTTTCCCATCAGAGCAGGGGACTCCCTGTTAAATCACAATATTATTCACTTAATACATATCTATCATTCATAAATACTCACATGTTTTTTAAATGTAGGACAAGTATAATACAGTATCTTAATTATAATACTGCGAATAGGTGAAGTAGTTTGACATCTCAAAGTGCATTCACTGTTCTCTGCACTGCATTGCACACTGTTGCTTTACTGCGATCGAGTGAAACCTAACGATATATCGGAGGAAACTGCTGCCTGATCAGAACTTCCTGTTATCTTTAGTGTACAAGTTTTGTAAGTTCCTCTTGGTAAAAGTGAAGTAACTAAGATTATGGAAAACACAGTTTACATTACATATTAATTAAAAAAATATTACCGTAAGAGTTCTTTATCACTTTATCATAGTTTTGTTCTTAATTGTCCTGTTCTTCTTTTACAGGGTTTTATTTTTGTATTCACTACTTTGTGACCTAAATGACCTGTTAGCATTTCTTGTGAAAGAAAACTACAAATAACTACAAACATTATAATATTGTAATATAATATCAAAGGTTTGATGTAGGTTTTAAAAGGTTGATTCTTTTGTCAACAGAATTTTGAAAAAATGACTGGCCAAGATTTCATGAACTAGGTCAAGGGCTGTAGCCAAGGGACAAGGAATAACTCATTAACAGTTGGAGCGGGTCCAAATCATGGGGCAGATTCAGCTGTTGGACTAGGATAGATTACCTGAGCTAGGGGACAGCAGCCAAACCTGGTCAGAGCCCTCTGGCAGGAAAACTCAGGTGGGCATCGAGACTGATCAGGACAGATGTTGTCTTCCTCCTCCCCCATGAACGCCTTGATCATCCTGAAGGACTGCAGGGACAGGGAAGGAAAGAGGGCACTCAACTTTATGTAAAACTGTCACACAGTATTTCATCATAAAGCCACATATATGTGATTCTTACTTTGGAGATTCCGGGCTGATCAGCAGAAGCTCTTTCCACCCAGGGGATGGAGCCAGTAGTGTTCAAACAGCTGAACGTTTCCGCATGACAGAGAGTCCCCGAAGGACAGCAATGCATGTGGTCCGCACAGCACTCAGCCTACGAGGACAGTAGTAGTAGATACATTTTGACTACCAAAGTATCAGAACTGCTATCACGTAAGCTAAATGAGGGATGAGCTTTTATCTGGCCCATAAAGCGGTAACACGACACTTAGAATGAATAGTACCACTGTAGCTTTCATTATTCTTACTTAAGAGTACTAGACTATGGTTATAAAATATTCTAATTAACTATGTGTGGACAAAGGGCCATACATTCAGCTGAAGTACTTTATCTTTACAGAGGGTTATCTTGTTAAGTCAATTGTGCAGCCTTACAACAGGGAGCAATAACTTTAGCTGATTCAAATGGGTTTAAAGTTTTAGCTTGACAGGGTGCAAATCCTTCATGCTCTTTTTGGTATTATTTTTCTCTTAACTGCACATGTAAGCTATTTATTTCAAAGCCTGTTTTAAAAAATGTAGTGGGGGTAAATAAGGACACCTATACTCAAGTAATGTACTTACAGTATGTATAATTATGACTATACATGGGTATTTAAATATCCTGCTAATACATTACCATTCCGAGGCATAGAAAATACAAAATATAATGAACAACTAATTGCTGTGTATTGTTATAGGTTTGGATGTGCTTTATTAATCCCTTGTTTAAATGATCAAGCTATGGTTAAAAAAATGCGTCAATAACTTTATTTAACAATATATTTCTACACTATGATATTACTATTTTACAAAACACACAACACACTTAAACTTTATAATGCACACCTGCAGGTCTATTTTCACAAAAACATATTGTGCATCCAAACACTGTTTGAAAAACTATTAACATTTTAATTAAATTAAATGTATGCAAAATTATGTATTATTTTCACAATATATCATTATTATGCGTATTTTCTTCTGAATATCTTAGTGTAAGAATCAGTAAAGTGTCGGGTCAGACAGGTGCACAATATACCTACTTATTAAGTGTTTATGTTGTAACTTTGAAGGTTATTAGGAGATAATGAGGTTGTTAAATGGCCATCTAAAACCTTAACTCAGCAGTAGGATTACTACAAAAGCAAGTCAGTTACAGGTGGATTCATTTTGTTTAGATTTTTTGTATGATGAGGTTAATTTATGAAGAGAACATGAAGGTAGTTCAACCACGTCTACCTGATCAAACGGGCAGCATTCATAGCCGTTGACCGGGTCGTTGCAGCAGGTTTGACCGTCTTTACATCTGGCTCCATCTGGACACTCCTCAGCACCAACCAGAGCCAGCAGAGCGCAGCAGATCACACCCCAGCTCTGCATCTGCACGAAGGGACAGGCAAAAAGGAAAGTCAAGTATGTGCATGTCCAGAAATAACATGTTTACTTTCACTTCTGCCAAAGCTGCTGGTAGGCAAATAAAAAAACGCATAGATAAACATATTGACTTTTTTTGTAGTTAATTTCCATCTGCAGTCCTTAACTTGGCTGCCTGTCAAATCGTATTGTCTTTGCAAACATTTAAAGTAAGTAAAACATCGAAAACAAAAATGCAATTTAATCTGAGAGTTAGCTCTGTCTTCATTTACTTCCTGAAAGTGTTTAGTCCAGTCATTATTTTGCAATGATCATTTGCAACCAAAACATTCTAAAACTTTGAGTAGCCTTTAGTGCTGTGTGTGTGAATCGTTGTCATAGGTTTACAATTCACTCACATTTATCACGACAGTCGCTAAAAGGGGAAGTCTGTTTTGTTCTTACCTTGTAAAAGGTGTCTGTGACTGTCTGTGGTGAGAGGTCAGGTGTTTTACAAGAGTCCTCGCGACCTAATAACACAAATGCAAGGGTGTTTCGTCTTTTACACTCCCCGAGAGAGAGAGAGAGAGAGAGAGAGAGAGAGAGAGAGAGAGAGAGAGAGAGAGAGAGAGAGAGAGAGAGAGAGAGAGAGAGAGAGAGAGAGAGAGAGGTATGTGTGTTTGTGGATGGCAGAGCGACAATGAGGGAACGTGTGTGTATGAGAGATTACTTTCCCAGAATTCCTTGCAGCGGCTCGGGTGTAATCAGTTTTTTAAAAATACGATTACGGTTGATACGCTTTCTCTAAATGACATACAAATCCAGTGAAATTCATATTATATATTTAATATTTTAAAGATTTGTTGTGCAATATAAAGGCATCATTTTTTGATTGCATGTTACAAATAAACGACTGAGAGAATAGGTTCTGGCTCATAATTGCAAAAACGACCTTTGTTTTTTAAATGTGACAATTAAGACCAATTGTGTAAATGACAAAAGTGTACTTCTGTTGGTACTGAACTACTTTTAGAGACACACTTGGGTAATGACCATGCATCACTTATATGATGTGGTCTTATTTCCAAGGACCTTGGTCATAAATACTGTACTGTACCCTGTATAATCTTACCCGGTAGATAGAAATAAGAAGACAAATAATGATTCTATACAGATTATTGGTCAGTAGGTCATGCGTAGTCCAGCCTGGTATTACAGAGAAAGGTGCACTGCCTAATTTAAAAGTAACATAATTATACATGATCTCTACTGTAAGTCTCAGACGTGAATGTAGTTGCTCTGTACTGTAGGACATACATAACGTATAGTAATAAAAAAAAGTATAGTATTTACATAAAACAGTTCATCTATGGTCATTATGTCCAAAACTGTTATGCCCTGAATCCAATACTTCGCATCTTGTGCCCAAGTACTTACATGTAGTAGCCTATGGTACACACTGTAGGCCTACTGGTACACAGTCAATACAAGAACAAATCGTGAACTCCAGCCCCGAGTATTTATGCAGTATGTTGCACTTATGGTTGCACTCGGTATTAAGCGTTACCCAAACTTGTTTACATGCGGCAGCTGACTGTAGTGTGGTGACATGTCCAACAGGCGGCGGCAGAGCTACAGCACGGGAGGGGGCGGGGCGCGACGACCCGGACATGTTACCGCAGATCTCCACAACACGCGGATGGGTCTCTCTTCAGCACTACCGCGGAGTGAAGTTTTGTACAGATTATTGAAGAGTACATTTTGTACAGTGTCCCCGCAGCGACCTAAACCCGACTCCAAAACATGTTATCTGCAGTGGAGAACCCGAATAAGTTGCAGCACGACAGAGTAGCTTAAACGTTACCCTGAAATGGACGAAGAGCCCTCTATTTCACGCTGGGAGCTAAAGTAGAGGTGAGTAGCTTAATCTTACAACCCAACAACGTTGACTGGAAAGCTAGCTAGCCACTGTTAGCTAAATGTCTCTGACATTTCGACAGTTGGCTTATGGCGGATAAAAAAAGTACACATTAAAGGATTTCTCACAAACACGGTACACACAGCTAACACCCGGTCATTTAATTGATTGAGTTTCAGATTTCAATGAAAACCTAGTCATCAAATGTTGTTTCATTAACACGAGTGTCGTTAGCTAACATTATGACGAAGCAACGCTGTGAAGGTGAAACACTCCATGCCCCAAACACATTCAGTGTCTGCTGGTCGTAAAATGCACTTTATGGTTTCCGCTGCATATCAGCATAAACGTCTTTCTAAAAAAGCTCAGTAGTGTTGGATTTTAATTTAAAGCTGGTTTCTATTTAGTTAAGAAACTATAATTCCAATGTTGTCTAATATTGATTGACATCATATTATACCCAAAAATGTCCTTGATGGCAGTATTTTAGTTCATTTTTTTAACAATCAAATATATTTAGTGACATGTTCTTACTATGTTTTAAATGTAGTAGTACCTATTTTAAATGTTACCATTTCAGGTTTTGATTGTAAAAATAGTTTTCACTTTATGACACTTTTAGAGACATTTTTTGTTTAGTTCTCAGTGCCAAGTGACTGTCATATTTAAATGTAAATACATCAAGAACTACTACAGGTAAAGGAGGACACATGGCAACAACACACGCAGGAAACACTAAAGAAAGTGTCACTGTTTTCTGTAAAATATTATCTTAAACATTGTGGCTGCTTGTTATGGATTTGTTAACCCTGTTTATGATTTGAACAAAAAACACTTATTCAAATTAAGACATGACTTCCATTAAGACATTTACAAGTTGACTTTAACTTGTTTTGTTCCATTTCAGTATTAAATGTTAAATGTGTATCTATATGCTACAACCCACTCCCTCAAAAAGCGAGGTGAGGCTCTCACTGTCTGCTTGGTGCATGCATGGTGTAGATAAGCTATCATAATGTGTCAATGACCTCAATATAACAACTACGCCTAGTTATCTCACATTAACATATGTCTGACTCTATTACAGTGTAATATTATGCAATTTCTTTGAAGGAGGACATTTTGGTTAACTTTTTTGTTGAATAACCTTTTTTAATGTGACATGTGTTGCCAATACACTGACTTGTAGCATTTTAGGAGCCTTCCACATTGGTTAGGTTAGGTTTCTGAAGCTGCAGGACACAAACACTATTTATTTCGTTTTTGTACATAACAATGAGAAATAGACCCCTGGCTACAAGAGTTCCACATGGTTTAGAATAACAGCTCTGTGAAGGTTAGTTAGAGAACAAAGTGTTCCTACTGTGAGGGTTTATTTTGGTTCTCCTTGGTCTGACAGGTGGGCAGGATGGGGGAGCGGGCGGTCAGCGGCTCTGTGGCTGCCATCTCTCCGGTGCAGCAGATGCTGGCTTCTGGCACTGGAGCCCTCCTCACATCTATTTTTGGTGAGATAATGGAAACAAAAGCTAGGAAAAGCAGCTTATGTCTGTATGTTCATAAATGTAGTCTTTTACAATGCCTTTATTTTCGTCAGAGTCTTACACAAAGTTAAAGCTACAGTCAAATAGAAAAGTCCTTTAAAAGGGCTTAACAGTTGGCATAGTTGCTGATCAGTCAAAAAGAAGGAAAACAAATATTCTCATAATTGTTCAAACCTATTTTTTCATGCAATAATGGCAGAAGATGCTGTTTTCAGCTTTTCTAATGTAGGGATTTCATGTTTTATATCGTTCTAAACCTAATATCTTTGTGTTTTGGTCTGAACAATTGAATGTAATGACTTCATCTTCTGACATACCATTAATCTAGAAAACTCAAGAGTAATCAGTATGACAATTTAAAGGGGACCGATCATGCAAAATGCACTTTTATACATGAATATGTGTCCCCTGTGTTCCAGGGAACTCACCAAGTGTCAGAAAACACAACCCTCTCTATTTTCCTCCATACCCAAATCTCTAAAAAAGGGGCTGCAACGGATCTGATACAGACTGATCCAGATTTGAACACTGTCCTGACGTCAGGAAGGTGGCGCTACGGCTATTGGTCAATTCTCCACCTATCAGGGGAATGAGAGGTTGGGCCACGGCCGGCCATTGCCGCTCGAAAGCGCTGGAGACGCTGTAGTACATATGCCAGGCCTGTAAGTGGCGATGTAGTCTGCCACAAAAGCAGCGAAGAAGACTTCCCGCGCATGGTTGCCATGGTTGCCCTTCTGTTTATTCTCCGCTGTGGCTCTTTTTCTCCCTTCCCGAGGCAAGCGTTTGCTCCCGCTGCTGTAATTCAATGCAATCCCTCCCCGTCAAGGCAAGCACTGTAATTCTCTCCGGTTAGTCCACCAGCAGATGACAAACACCCACCTCTCTGCCTCTTCCAAGGAACGAGGGGACCGTGCGGCAGAGTTTCAGTTAGGTTTTCTTTCGCCGGTGAAGATGTCCGTTAAAGTGCCGGTCAAAGTTATTCTTTGTTATTTATTGAGCTTTAAAACTAATGAATAACGACTCTATATAATATAACACGGAGGACGGAGATCCCTCTTCTGACTTGATCAGAGCACGCTCCCCTCTCCTGCAGGGGGGCGTGCTCAGCTGCAGCTTACAGAATCAGCCCCCTGCAAAAACAGGGCTGGAGAACAGCAAATAGAGCGAAATGAGGCATGGCTAAAATGCATGGTCTGTTTGGTATTTTGAAAACAGAAATGTATAAATATACCTTATATAGGTATGGCCCTACAATATATCATTTAAATATAGCATGATAGGTATCCTTTAAGTAAATTGCAGCCATGTATTTTAAAGGTCCCATGTCATGCTTTTCTGGTTATTACCCGTCCCCTCGTGTGTTATGAAGGTTTTTCTGCATGTAAACGGTCTGCAGAGTCACAAACCCTCAAAGTACACCCTGTAGTGAGTAAAACTCTAACACAGAAAATACCTGTTTGTGCTGCTCCAGAACGCCTCGTTGGAGCTCCATTTTTTTCTTCCGGGAACCAAGTGATGTAACGACGATCCAAATGGACCAATCCGAGGAGCTCCTCACACACACAGCCAGCCAGCCTTATTTTTCTCAGCTGCAGCTTCGCGGATTTCTCAGCCTGGGACACGGCGAGGCCCGCCCCGGGCCCGGTCCGAGCACACAGACAGACCCACAGCCAGGCTGCGGGTGTGTGTGTGTGGGGGCGGGGGGAGCTCCAACAAGCCATTTAGGACTGAGAGTGAATACACACATACTATACAGAGATGTTGTATGAGAAACCAATGTGAGTTTGGAAAGTTGCACAATACAAATCTATTCTAGTAGACCTCAACAATGGAATTATGATCAGTAGAAATGGCCATGACATGGGACCTTTTAATTAGGGCCGGGACTCGATTAAAAATTAATTAATTAATCTAATTAATTAGAGGCTTTGTAATTAATTAATCGAAATTAATCGCATTTTTAATCACATATAAATATTTGACCTAAGAACAGTGAGAAGCAATTTTTTTCGCATGGATTTTAGTATACCATTAGGCGCATTCACACCGCAGTACTTTTCCCACAAAGGTTCATGAGAATTTAGTTCATGAGAACTCGTTGAACCTGGGGGTGGATTAGGCAAATGAAGCCGCTGACGTCACTTATTCTTCTTCTGCATCAGTAGAAGCTGCTGGGAGTCCCTGCAGCCTTCCGAGTAAATCGCCAGAACGCCGACACCTCCTCATCTCCACCGCTCCCATGTTTTATTTTGTGTTGCCATAAATTAGTCTCTCTGCGTTTCTGCGCTGGGCTAATGCTAATAATGCTAATGCGAGGATAATAAAATTCACAAAACTTTTTGGGAGTTTTACGGGGCGTGGTTTGCAATCCGCCCAGCCAATCAGAAATATAGCTCTTTTCTCACAAGAGAGCCGCACGAAAGTCCCTGCTCTCTAGCAGCTCTCTGCTCTCTAGCAGGGACTTTCGTGGGGGTAAAAAGGTTCTCATGAACTAATTTTAGTACCGGCTCTTTTTGGTGTGAACGCGATAAAAGAGGCTAACGTCCAGGCTAGCTTCCACGCTAGCTGCTATATGTTTTGCATTGAGGTGATACTTGAGGCTTGATGTGCTGCGGTGATATGCGAATTCCTTTTTGCATAATTTGCACACAACCGTGCTCTTATCGACGCTTCCATCCGTCCGTTTTTTAAAACAACATTTCCCACTGTTGTTCACTGTGGTTTGTTGTTGTCTGAAGTCATGAACGTTAGTTGGTGCTCCAGTATAATCGGTACGCCTGAAACTCATCCAGTGAGAAACGTCCCGCCGTGCAAAAATAAGTGCGATTAAAATGCGTTAATTTTTGTGTAATTAATTAATCTTAATTAACGCGTTAAAGTCCCGGCCCTACTTTTAATATTCACTCCCTTCATGAAGTTTATAATATTCAATTTTAGTTTAAACTGTATGAGTGAGGTGTTCATTTAACTGTGTGGCCATTTTGAAGGCTGGATAATAGGGGTGTAACGGTTCACAGAAGTCACGGTTCGGTTCGTACCTCGGTTTGGGGGTCACGGTTCGGTACAACAAGAAAAAGCAAAAAAAAAGTCCCAAATGCATAATTCCAGGTTTGTTGTTATTTATGTTTGAACAGTAGTGCAAGTTTCAGTTTAAAAAAAAAAAAGAACTATTTTTTGAATAATTAACTGTATTAAACAGTTAAAAACCAACCTTACACAGTACACTCAGATGGCCATATTATCTATAATGGCTGATGTCAAACTAAAAGGTTTCATCAAGCTGTAAAGCTAAAAAGAATGTCTTGAAAATATGACATCATAAATAATAAGAAAGTGTTTCAAGAGCGCAAAGTCGTTGAAAAACATATGCCAAAAGCTTCCGTTATTTATTTGGTCTCACAGCGGGGATCAGCTGTTGAACTGCTGTTGTCTTTTGCCGGGCTCCGGTGATTGGCAAATCTGGGTGATGCCTTCTGATATGATTTAGCATGTTTGGCGTGTGTTACCATTAGCATACCGCACCGCTGTCGAACAACGCCGACACACCGTCCTCGTCCGATCCACCACTCGCACACTTAATCGTTATTGTAGTCCACAGGGAACCCGAAACGTTCCCACACAGCTGATTTAAAAGAAGCAGGTGGGTTCTAGCTCCTGTGTGTTAGCTGAAATCGCCATACTAACTTTTCTTCTTCTTGTATTTTGTTCGTTTTGTTGTTTTGTTTCTTCTTGTTCTTCATTTGTTGTTTAAGGGCGGCTGGCAAACAGCTTTTAGGCGCAATACCGCCCCCTGGATTATATATAGTGTAGTGGATACTGCCCTGAATGACACTTTTTTCCCACTCGTAAAAAAAAATGCGTATTCGTCGTGTGACTGCGTGTGCCGAACCGTGACGTCCGAACCGTGATGGTACGGGACGAATACGGATACCGTTACACCCCTACTGGATAACCTCATGGAGGGAGAATTCACTGCAGGACTTCGACTGCATTGGTTTTAGCTCAGTGAAAACTGAGTGCGTCGCTGTGTATAATAATTCAATCTGTCAATGTATTTGCTTATAGTCACACCGCTGGACGTTGTGAAGATCAGGCTGCAGGCTCAGCAAACACCATTCCACCAAGGTAGGACAAGGCACTTGTCTTCTTCTGTGGTTTTAGATCATAAACTAAGTTAATGAAAAACTGACTCTGCTGTTACCAGCTGTGTCTGAGTGCCCTGTGTATCTCAATGCTTTACTGACACCTGTCCTTTTTGTCTTCTGTCCTGCTTTTTGCTTTGATTCGTAGCTTTAGCCCGTCAATCTTCTTCATGGGGGGGCATCATTCGCACATCCAAGTGTAAGTAGCTGACCCGCCATCGCTGCATGCTATATCTTAAAAAATACTAAGAAAACCCCTTAGGCCCAGTCCAGCTTTCTGTGTTGGCACATGCTCAGCTAACAAGCGACTCTTGCCAATGAAAACAAAGCTGTTTTGCAAAGAGATTCACATGTTAGTCAGCTTTGGTTCACTTCTCTACATTATGGTAGCGTTTAGAATCATGAAACAACACTGAAAAGCTTCCAACAACAATTTACAAGAAATTCAACCTGACCTGTGAAGTAGATTTCTTTAACTCCTGCTAACTAATGATCCTGCCGTAGTAAATATTAATTGGGTTTCCTAATTTTCAGAGTTTCTCAAATGTTACGTCAATATTTAGGCAATGACAATAATAGTATATTCTGAGCAACTCTGTGCTCATTGGCATTTCATGTGTTTTTGTATCACTCTTCGCTTTAATTCACCACATCTAATCACACTTCATATGCATAAAGTTCTAATGGTTTTTAATTAAAGCAGTTCTCTGATGATTGCTGTGAAAGCTGTTGCCAAGCAGTTATTGTAGGCTTTGCTTATATTTCTTTTGAACTCCTTTGCCCCCTGTGGGTTTTCTGTCTCTCAGGGAAATGCTTCATGTATTGTAACGGGCTGATGGATCACGTCTATGTGTGTCAGACTGGAACCAGTTGCACCAGCTGGTACAAAACACCAACACATTTCAGTGGGACGCTTGTGAGTATTAGTGCATCAGCAGGTTTTGCCACTATATTGTTGCAAAAAACAAATCCACATGTTTGTTTATTCCATAGGATGCCTTTGTGAAAATAACTCGGCACGAAGGTTTCAGATCTTTGTGGAGTGGACTGCCACCAACACTGTGAGTTTCTAATCTTTAATTTAATTAAAAAAACACCATTAGTTAAGAATAAATGTGTTGAAAAGTACATTCTTGTTTCGGGGTAAATGATACTGATATAAGTGGCCAATAGCATTTGTTCCTTCCTATTGAGTTTTTTGTGTTTTTTTTCTATGGGTGCCATATTTACAAGGACAAAATGTTTACTATATACATTTTGTATTTTCCAAATGGAAAAGCATTTAAACATATTAAAATGCTTAGAATATGAAGTCTTGAACACAGGATTATCATCACGAGTATGCACTGGCAAGTACAGCCAAATAAAAAAACACATAATGGCCTTAATCGAGCATAGTCCATCCATGTGAATGAATCTCCAATGAAGTACATTTGACTGTAGACAAACAGTAGTGCAAGAAGTATGAATAACTTCTAATTAAAGACTAAAACAATAATAAAAAATACTGTAAAAGTCCCATATTTACATGTATTTTGCATTTTACTGTTGGGTAGTTCAATCTACAGCAACGCATCTTATTCTATAAGGTCATCATGTGCTTGTAGCGCTACTGTCCTACGAAAACACTGTATCAATGGACTGTTCAGGAGCTCTTTTTAATATTTTCTATTGTTATGGCATTTAATGTACAGTGCAGTCCTTCATTCATGTTCATGTTTCTGTGCAGGGTGATGGCTGTCCCTGCCACGGTCATCTACTTCACCTGCTACGACCAGCTGCGGGACTTCCTGAGATACAGCCTGGGTTTCCAGGGCAGCCACATCCCTCTTGTTGCTGGGGGTCTGGCCAGATGTATGTCCACTAAATCACACAGATATCCTGACTGTAGTATGTTATGTGTATCTTTGACTCCCAGTGTGTGTGTGTGTTGCAGTGGGGGCTGTGACGGTGATCAGCCCTCTGGAGCTGGTCAGGACCAAGATGCAGTCCCGCCAGCTGTCCTACAGCGAGCTGCGGGTGTGTATCCGCTCGGCTGTGGCTCAGGGCGGGCTGCTGTCCCTGTGGAAGGGCTGGGGACCCACCGTGCTCAGAGACGTACCCTTCTCTGGTGAGAGCAGCAACACACAACGCAATATACTTTAATAATACTCTCGACAATCTTTTATATTCCTACCTGTTGACTTCAAACATGGTTGTTACAATATTGCTTCATGAAAAGTATTTTCATCAATAGAAACTCAAACCTCTCCTGCAGCATATTTCACTCCTCTGCTGTTATTTGATATCTTGAGTATTTTTCAGTCGACCTTTAATCAAATCGTGTTTAAACACTCTGTTATTCTATTTAACTATTTGTATTCTTGAAAATCAGCTGGAGTTTGAACCAAAAACTACAGTTTAAAACACCAGCAGAGGCAGAGAAAGTGAAGCATTAACTTGAGCTGCTGGAGTGCTTTGAGAAGTTTGTGAGTGTTCTTCTGCCATTAAAACTACACACTTTATCTACCACCTTCTAGACTTACAGGGACTGAGTGTTTTATACTCAATATTTTTCTTCTGAACATACAGTATGGGATGGGAAAAGACACATCTTCGCCACTCTTTATACTTCTTCTCCCTACCACCTATGCTTAAAGTTCCGACATCCTGCGTTCATTTATTATGTCTGTCAGATCATTTTTAACACTAGAACCGCCAGGGGTCGCTGTATACCTAAAACCGCCAATGGGTCAAATGTACCTGCTATTAGAATGCATTGATTTTCAAGGTATAATGTTATTTTATTCATCATACTAGAACACAGGGTTAACAGTGAGTTTTGATCGCACAGTGATGAAACTTATACCAATAGAATCTGTGGATTCTCAGCTTTCATATGATATCTAGTGTGCAGATAGCATGAAGTATCTCTATCTCTCTCTCTATCTATCGATCTATAACTAACTAATTATCTATAACTATCTATCTCTCTATCTATAAGGAACCGCAGTAAACAACAGGCGTTGCTATAGCAACACGTCATGTTTATGTTTTTGCGCGAAATCAATAGCGCGAAAATCACTGCATTTTCTAAAAGGTAAATATTACCCGCTGGCGCTAATGGGTATTAATGGCCATTTTTTTCAATCTGACTTCATATTGACAATTTTTAACAACAGAGGGTGCTACATAACACACTTGCCTTGCCTTGCAGCTGTTCTAGTGTTAAAGACATATTCATGTTCAGTTTAAATTTCACACACAAATTAGCCTCACGGTAGTTTACAATCACTTTAGCACAAAACACCTTTGACCCTCAAATCAGATTAGAAATAATCCCAAAACAAATCTTTTCTTTTTTATGTGCACAAAATGGAAAAAACAACATCCTAGTTATTTTTGAGGTGGTGAGATGTCTGTGGGTTAAAGCAAGAAATCAGCGTACAAACCGCCCCCGTTTGTGTGTATTTACAGCTTTGTACTGGTTTAACTATGAGCTGATGAAGGCTCGGCTGTGTGAACAGTCCCGGATGAATCAGGCCAACTTCTCCATCAGCTTCACTGCAGGAGCCGTCTCTGGAGCTGTGAGTACTCGCCTTTATTAGTAAGACACACCTGACCTCTGTTGCAACAAGTAAACTGAAGATGTGAGAGAAGAAGTTTCAGGTCCAGCTGTGAGCAGCGAATGCATCAGGTCCAGCTGTGAGCAGCGAATGCATCCTCAGGGATATATAAAGAGAATCAGGCCATTGTTTTCCTGTCCATTATATGACTGTTTCCTGTCTAGATCGCTGCGATCCTGACGCTGCCTTTTGACGTGGTGAAGACACGGAGACAGATCCAGCTGGGAGAAATAGACGCTCTGGGAGGTCTGTACTTTTATCTTCAATGATTTCAAATCAAATTGATTTATTTGTGTGTGTAGCATGTTCTAAACAGGACTTTTCCATTCTTAGTTGCCTCAAAGAGAACAACGTCCACATGGCACATAATGAAGTCAATATGGGCTGAGATGGGCTACAGGGGCCTTTTTGCAGGTACACACTTATGCTTTATAGGACTGTAATATAACTAAGAACATGTATTCAAGTACTTTACCTAAATACAATTTCAAGGTACTTGTACTTTGTTTTTTTCTTTATGTTTCTTCTGATTTTTCCTTTGACTTTACTATTGGTACTTTTAATCAAGTGAAATGTCAAAGCACTTCTTTCACCCCTGTATGACGTGTTGAGTAAGACTTGATCTTTTCTCCAGGTTTCATGCCCAGGGTGATCAAGGTGGCCCCGGCCTGTGCCGTCATGATAAGCTCCTATGAGTTTGGGAAGACTTTCTTCCAAAAAATGAACCTGGATCGAGAGCGACTGGGATCCTGAAGGCTCCGTGTGCTGCTGGGTGATTGTTCACAGCTCGACGTGGAGACGGTTCCATAAAGACAGTCGGGACAAAGTCTCTGACGGACCTGGATTTGGTTTTGTTCGAACATAAATGAAGAGGATTCACCCACAAATCAAGGATGTCTCTCTCTCTCTGGAAATGTGAAAAGACTTTACTAAAACTTGACACACACTTCACATCCATGAACACAATAATAATCTTGAACAACAAGCCTAAAGACTCTTGTATCACGACCTTTATGCATGTAGATTACTTGAGTAAACTTTTTTTTAAAAGTGTTTCTTTAAATAAGAGAATGGTTGATTTTCTCTTTCTCTGTGCACACTAGGGCTGCACGATTTTGGGAAAAAATCTAATATATTGCGATTCGAATTGCGATATTTATTTTTTAGCGACCCAACGGAAGTTTATTGTAAAATGCGGCCATAACTCTGGCTAGGAAGGTCGTATCAACGTACTCCCGTCTCTAGCACCCCCGCAGCCCGAGCTACGAGTGAAAGAACTAAACTTACATGAAACTTCCGTTGGGTTGCTTTAAAGTCAAGCTTCAGTTTAAGATTCACCCTGTAATAGAAACATGTGATGGAGCATTACTAACTAAAAAAAAACGCAGGCTTTGCCATTTGATAATCGCATCATTTCAAATCGCGATTTCGATTTAAAATCGATTAATCGTTCAGCCCTAGTGCACACAATTATTCTGCAGGGAATTGGGGTTAGATGTGAATGCTTTGTGGGACAATACAAACCCTCTTAAGCAGGGGTCCCCAAACTTTTTCCTGTGAGGGCCACATAACTTTTCCCTTCTCTGATGGGGGCCGGGTCAGTTTGTAACAGAAACAGTGTGACGATCGCATGGGTGTCTAAACGTAAACATTTATTGTTTTCTAGAAAGCCACACATAACCAAATATTAATAACCCTTTCTGGGATCTTCACAGAAAAAAAGTCAGGAAATAAATAATAACACTATTAATGAAATAAATAACACTATTTATGAAATAAATAATAACCAAATAACCCTCTCTGGGTCAGTGGCGTTTTCTCCCAGAGGCCAAGGGAAGCCAGGCTTCTCCTGTTTTTTCGGATTGTAGTTATAATTTAAATAAATAAATAAAAACACTTTGTTTTGTTTCGATAATTCTCCTTTGCTGTGTGTTGCTGCCGGCCGTCTCTCCCCCATTCTCATTGAGTACTTTAAAAAGAGTGAAACAGCGCCCCTCTAGATGTTATGGTGAAACAGTAGATTGCACTCTGTTGCGAGAGGAGGCCAGCCGAATCTGGCTTCCTTTGGTGAAAAAAAATGGAGGGATTGACCAATCAGATGAGGCCCACGTGATGCCCCTGCCAACCTGTGATTGGTCAGGGCCATGCCAAGGGAAGCCAGCCGCCTCTTGCTTCCCTTCAGTGGCGGCTGGCGATTTGATTGGACACTGCTATCCAATCAAATCACATCAACATCAGTTTTAATACTGTAACTGTCATCACCGCCGTTAGAAATTATCAAGCAAATGAAGCATTATGGAGGGTGGAGATTTGGCGTACTTAATCAAACATAACTTTACTAAACTTCCGCTACAGCAGCAACTACAAATTAAATCAGATGACAGGCCAATGCCCGCACTCGAGCTGTGTGTACACAGAGGAAAAAGGGAGAGAATCGGACGTTCAATGAGGACAATTATGTCCGCACGGAGTGGCTAACTGGAAGCGCTAAACTTCAGCGTCTATTTTGCTGGCCATGTCTTCTTTTTGACAAGGATTCGTGCTCCCTGAACAATCCTTGGGCAACTTCAGGATTCATCGACCTTGCCAACCTGCCACGGGCAATTGAGAGGCACGGTAAATCCAAAAATCACATAGATTGTGTGATTGTCTGCATACATTAATAAGTACAATGCTTAAATTAATAAGGAGAGAGTTTCAGCTGGAGAGTGCGTGCGGACCTGTCGGTTAGATAACAGGCGTGTGCAAGTCCTGCATCTGTGTGATACAAATGTGTGTCAAATGATACCGGGCGCTGTAATCACTCATCTGGTTACGTTATTACGTTTATTTTTATTTTAAACAAACAAAGTCTTGGCTTTCAGAATATGAAACTTTTATTTCCAATTTATTTATTTCTCACTCGCAATCTGCTCTTCCGCAAAAAATGTATGCCTTAACCTGAAATGTGTCTCCTCTGGGTTTTTTAATGAATTAAATGGAAATAAATGTTGAGACGGCTTGCATTTTATGCATTCTGTGATTTTCTCCTGTTGGAGAAATACTGTTGTCTCCCCTTTATGTGTTGTTTTTAATGCACTGCTATCATGTGTGAGTCTGGACTGTGTACGACCTTGCAGCTGCCTCTTTATGATAGGAGGAGGCAGGGCATTTCAGGTTGTTGATCTTTATGAGGAGACAGGCACATACTTGTTGTCTCCTACATATCTACATCTGAAGGAAGTCCAGAAGTTGCAGATGACCCGACTTTCCGACACCCGCGGCTGATATTAGTGCCACCTCGATTTACGACTTTGTTGTTATCTATCCGTGTTTTGGACTATATAAGCCTGATGTTTTTTGCTCCTCCGGTGAGCAACATACTCCATGTGTGTGAGTTAACCCATATCCTTTGTATGTGATTTAACTACTCCTTCTTGCAAGAATAAATTAGAATCTGATTATTGATTCTCAACCTGGTGTTGAGTGATATTTTCCTAACATCTCCCCAATAAGTTTGTGAATGACCATGACTATTAAGAACAATATATGTACATTAGTAATGATTATGAAACCGATAAAGGTTATAAACTCTAACATATACAGAATAATATAACAATGCATAAAATCAAACACAATATTGTGCAGTTTCTCAATCACTTTTCATACACAAAAAGTATAAAAACAAATACAGACCCCTCCTCCCAAGCCCTACAGACAGCGACCCATTTTTCACAACTTTGTAATTAATAAAGCCCTTAAGTTACAACAGAACTCAAAACACTTAATAACAAAATAAAAATAATGATTTTATTTTTAAACAAAAGACATTTCTCCTTTTGTAGGCTACATCTCTCAATAAATTGTTAATATTTAATATTTGTTTGACCATGTCAGTGAGATGATTTGTGAGGTCAAACAATGACATCTAGTGGCTGTTGAGTTTAAGACATCTTATATTTATATATATATTTAAATCTTCTCAAACTGTTTTTTTTTAAAGATGTATGGCTTTACTAATCTGTGGCGGTTAGAACTGTGAGGCTGTTATCCAGTCCGGATTGGATTGACTGTAATCACAATGCCGATTCATTTCTGTTACTATTTTGAGATGTTAGAATTGTTTATTTCTAATCTTTTAATTTCTAATTATGTCAATGCCTTGTTTTTTTATGCTGCTGCAATGAAAACATTCCCCAATTTGGGATCATAAAGTACATCTTATCTCTTATCTTAATTTAATGTTTTTAAGGTACGGTCTTTTTATGCATTCATATAAAATGAAATAATGTATTTAATTTGATGTGTATCCCCTAATTTGCTCTGTTATCTATTTATCAGTTTGATTCAAAGATGCTTTATAACCATAGTTTGTAACTATTTGGGTCTACAGGAAACATCCGACAGGGTTCTGTAATTATTTTTAATTTGTATCTTTTAACTTTTTAATTTGTTAATGCTATTTTATTTCTATTTCTGAAATATATTGGACTATTTATTTCTGTGTCTTAGTTTCTCTTATGTACATTGCCTTGTGTTTTATTATGCTACTGCAACGCAAACATTTCCCAAATTGGGATCATTAAAGTACCTACAGTCTATCTATCTATGCAATAAGAATGAAACAGTTGAACACGTCTTTTTGGCACGCAGGAAAAATACGCAACAAAGAAAGGAAATGATGAGAAGGCTAAGGATAATGGGAAGAGTTGAAGACAACATAGGACAGGGGTGTCAAACTCAATTTCATCCCGGGCCACATCAGCATTATGGTTGCACTCAAAGGGCCGGTTGTAATTTTAATTATATAAATATACATATGTAAATATATAATATATATGAAATAATGTATTCTATTACATTGTTGGCCCTGCATTGGATTATTATCAGTTCTGGTAATATCTTCCTAGATAACTACGTCTGAAAGCAGAAATCTAGGGCAAATAATTGAAAGTAAATATTCAACAATTACACCAATTGTATTGTATATTATGTTCTTTGCAAGCTCTTGCGGGCCACATAAAATTAGGTCGCGGGCCAGATTTGGCACCCGGGCCTTGAGTTTGACACCCCTGACATAGGATATTTGGAATGTGGAGAAAGCATCAAGGGGAAGGAAATCATATTTGCTTTCCTAAGTACGTCCGGTCTGATAGAAAGAATCTAGGAACAGTAGAATCCAGAAGGAGGCAGTAATGTAACAGGGTGCACTGCAAACTGCCGTAAAAGACCAAGGAAGAAGACTTGGGGTCAGACGGTAATCTCGCCGATTCCCGCGATATTGTTTCTGTATAAATAGAAGCGTCATCCCTTACGTAGATCTCTTTCAATCGGACTGGACACAAGATGGTGAGTTTACCTTCCTGCGCTCTGTTTAGGAATCTGTTACACATCTTAAGCATCCGTTGTTTTAATTAAGTTTAGGAACATTGGATGACTTGTATGGAACATGTATACCAATAGAAAGGATATATTTGTTTTCATTGTTTTAGTATTCAGTATTTACACTTGGCTACACCGGCTGCTTTCAAAATGGCAGTCAATGAAGGCCGCTACTTTATTTATACTTGAGTAATTCCCTTTTTAAACGACATATTCTACAATAATCCTAACGGATGTCAAATCTGGTTTCAATGGATCTTTTCTCCGCACTGTTCGTAATCTGGCTCTTCTTCAGTATGAGTATGTGGTTCCATTCCAGTGCTATAGTGACCCCATTGAGGCAGGGGCGCAGTGGCTGTCTGTGCTTGCTCCCTGTTCACTCTCTGGAGACATCTGGCTCTGAGCCCACACGTTGTATTTATTAAGTTTAAGAACATTGGTTTTCTTTTACGAAAAATACCAATAGCATGTATATATTGGTGTTAACTCTTTCCGCGTCTTCCTTTTGGTGTCCGACAAGCGTGCACATGTTAAGCTAGCCATGCTAACAGCATGGTTAACTTTAATTACATTGACCTGTATTCTAACGCAGATTTGAAACTTGTCCACTATTATATTAGAACGCATATCTACTTACTTACGTTATTCCAAATACGACCATGCTGTATTTCAGACCCTCTATGTTTAATGTTGAGCTAGGCCGCACTTAGCTCTGCGGATGAACCAGCTAACTTTACTCTATCCTCCCTCAAGTCTCACCGTAAATTTTCGGCTCCCCGCCACGGGTCCCTGGGCTTCTTGCCCCGCAAGAGGAGTCGTCGTCATCGTGGTAAGGCGAAGAGCTTCCCCAAGGATGACCCCACCAAGCCCGTGCACCTGACGGCCTTCCTGGGCTACAAGGCCGGCATGACCCACATCGTCCGCGAGGTCGACCGACCTGGCTCAAGTGAGTGGACTCTGAGTTTAATTTTAAATGAATTTGCAACTAACTATTATAGATCAATTGTTTGGTTCTGAAAAACTATTGAGATGTCTGTCAGTCCAAAGACTCAGCTGTGATGTAGAAATGGATATTTCCTAATGGAATTGGAGAAAAGCTTTTCTGCCCATTGCATAAAATACTCAATACTCTTCTGTGATCTCAATACTGCCTGTGATGATCCCCTCGACGGGCGGACATAATGGGTTTTATACCCCTTGATGAATGTCGAGCACTGAGCGCAGTCTATACCATATCATAAATACTACAGCTGTCATAAGTCTAGGAAAGTTCTTCATATCTAAACTATTGTTTTCTATTGCAGAGGTGAACAAGAAGGAAGTGGTTGAGGCTGTGACCATTCTTGAGACCCCTCCCATGATTGTGGTTGGAGTTGTTGGTTACGTCAGCACACCCCGTGGCCTGCGTTCCTTCAAGACTATCTTCGCTGAGCACGTCAGTGAAGAGTGCAAGCGCCGATTCTACAGGAACTGGTGAGTTGCTACAATACATTTAAATGACTCATTGAAGCAGTTAGTTGCCCAGTGAAAAATGATAGACTCACTCAGTGAAAACACAGGTCTAACATTACGGTGCCTCCTGTGGCAGCTCCGCTCAGGTGCCATGTGCCCTGATGAGCTCCGGGCTCCTCTGGCCAGTGGAAAGTGCTTCTTAGAAACTGTGCCATGAGCTGAAATCCTTATTAGCTGAGAATGCACCCCTTTCCACATGGATTGGGATGGCAAGCAGCTATGCACTGTGTTCTTCCGCTGGCCCTCTTGGGTTATGAAGAACCTGTGCCAACCTCTCTGTCTCCTCCTGTGGGGTCTCAGGTACAAGTCCAAGAAGAAGGCCTTCACCAAATACTGCAAGAAATGGCAGGATGATGATGGCAAGAAGCAGCTGGAGAAGGACTTTGGTTCCATGAAGAAGTACTGCCAGGTTATCCGCATCATTGCGCACACACAGGTTAGTAAAGCTCATGATTACAATGAGGTGTTCATTTTCCTGCTTGTTGGCCTGTCACCATAAATGCATTTTTTTGGACAATGTATTGTCCCAGAAATGACTGGATTACACGTCATTATCATTTTAAGACCTATTTTTTGCCACTAATTCAATGGCATAATAAAACAATTTTAAAGACTTTACTTTCTCAAGAATTCTGGTATAATGTAAATCCCCCAATATTGGGCTAAACGAAAGGTCGATATTGCACGATAAATCCAAGTAATTGTGACAGGCCTACCTGCTTGTCTGTCAGTGATGAGACCACGGATGATTGCACCAGGCATGGTGCCCGATAAACATGAGGATACCTTCCAGCTGCCTTCCTTCTGAGACTACAAAGCTGTTTCACTTGACATGGAATTATGATTTCCACAGTTCTGAAATGCATTTTATTTCTTCTGTTTAGATGCGCCTGCTGCCCATTGCGCAGAAGAAGTCTCATCTGATGGAGGTGCAGCTGAACGGAGGCAGCATCTCTGACAAGGTGGACTGGGCCCGTGAGAAGCTGGAACAGGCCGTGCCTGTTAACAACGTCTTCACCCAGGACGAGATGATCGATGTTATTGGCATCACCAAGGGTCACGGATACAAGGGTGTCACCAGCCGTTGGGGCACAAAGAAGCTTCCTCGCAAGACCCATCGTGGTCTGCGTAAGGTTGCCTGTATTGGTGCCTGGCATCCTTCCCGTGTTGCCTTCTCTGTGGCCCGTGCTGGTCAGAAGGGTTACCACCACCGAACAGAGATCAACAAGAAGATCTACAAGATTGGCCAGGGCTTCCACACCAAGGATGGCAAGCTGGTGAAGAACAATGCTTCCACAGAGTACGATCTGTCAAACAAGAGCATCAACCCTCTGGTAAGTGACAGTCATGGAAATGAAGTCATTCCCTTTTTAAAAAGACCTATTCTACAATAATCCTAACGGATGTCAAATCTGGTTTCAATGGATCTTTTCTCCGCACTGTTCGTAATCTGGCTCTTCTTCAGTATGAGCTGTGGTTCCATTCCAGTGCTATAGTGACCCCATTGAGGCAGGGGAGCATTGGCTGTCTGTGCTTGCTCCCTGTTCACTCTCTGGAGACATCTGGCTCAAAAAAAAAAAATGTATACCAATAGCATGTATATATTTGTGTTAAAGGTTTCCGCGTCTTCCTTTTGGTGTCCGACAAGCGTGCACATGTTAAGCTAGCCATGCTAACAGCGCGGTTAACTTTAATTACATTGACCAGTTAGAAGATGTGACTCACTTTACTTCTTTTTTTTAGGGTGGATTTGTCCACTATGGAGATGTGACCAATGACTTCATCATGGTTAAAGGCTGTGTTGTGGGAGTCAAGAAGAGGGTGCTGACTCTGCGCAAGGTAAGGACAACTTGCAATGCTTCATATGAAACATGTTTGACTGTTCCAGACTAATGTTGGGTGCCCCTGGTATAATTTAACTTGCTGAGGTGGGAGTCAATTATTCTAAAGAATATCTTAAAATAAAATCACTGACTTAGTTCCCAACACAAATGTTAAACTCGGTTTCTTTTTGTATTCCCAGTCTCTGCTTGTGCAGACCAACCGTCGTGCCATGGAGAAGATCGACCTGAAGTTCATCGACACCACTTCCAAGTTTGGCCACGGCCGCTTCCAGACCATGGAGGAGAAGAAGGCGTTCATGGTAAGAGTTTGTACTGAAAGCTGTACAAAAGCATACCTCTGCATCACATTTATTTTCTTAGTCTCTAAGATCTGTATACTTATTTGTATGCACATTTTGCCAGAATACCATGCAAGTTTATTTTCTCCGCACTGTTCGTAATCTGGCTCTTCTTCAGTATGAGTATGTGGTTCCATTCCAGTGCTATAGTGACCCCATTGAGGCAGGGGAGCAGTGGCTGTCTGTGCTTGCTCCCTGTTCACTCTCTGGAGACATCTGGCTGCTCTGAGCCCACACATGTGCATCATTCTAAAGTATAGCCAAACAATTGATAGTCTCTTTCTTGTTATCTCACAGGGACCACTCAAGAAGGACCGTATCACCAAGGAAGAGACTGCTTGAAGTCCTCTACCGTCTGTGCTGCTTTGACTGTCGCAATCATTCCTGTACTGCAGCTATTTAATAAAAAAACAAACTCAAAGATTGTTTCATATCCTTCTTGTAAAACATTATACTGACAAAGTTGTGGACATAACTTATTGCAAAAACATATTGAAAATGTGTACGTATAACTGCATTAGGAGTTGTGCAGAGGTGAGGAAATCTGGTCAGCGTGTGATGCTCTAGCTTGCTCTTCAGTTGGAAGTGGCAAGGGATTTTGTCAAGGTAGTGAAGTATATGAACCTGGCAAGAAGAAAATATGATGCTCTTAACCCTTGTTATGTTCACATTTCGCACCCTTTGGTAATGTTCGGGTCAAATTGACCCGGGACATATTTCAGGGTTTTAAAAAAAATACAGAACTAAATTCAACATGCACAATTCCATATATATATAGTCTTGAACTCATTCCCCAACAATATGAATGAAATATATGATTAGTTTTTGAAAATACTCTTTGCTAGATCAACTTTAACAATGGAAGTGTCCATCGTTTTTTGTGATAAAAATTTAATTTATGTTAAAAATATACTGTAATAAAAACTAGGTTTACATTTTGCTCATGCTTTTCTAGGACAAATGTAAATGAAAATTGTTTTCATTAATGTTTATTTTTAATCTGTCATATAATCAAAGCCCTGAAGGAATTAAAGCAATTGGAACACAAGAACCACACATCCAAGTATTTGGCTGTGAAATAGAGAGAATGAAACATCCATATAAATGACATAGAACAGATATAAACACTAAGCAAATGAAAACAATTAACAGTCACTATTCATAAAATACAGTATATCCGAAAAACATTGAAGTGACGCTGCAGAACATGTGAGTCAATGGGCAAGTCCGTTGACTCACACATGATGTGCAGAACTTCTTCGTGTGTGTGTATAGCACAGATGTACTTGTTGCAGTTGCTGAATGTAGTCTGTGTCTTTGAGGGTCCACAGACCGCACAGCTGGCTGTGGGGGTCTTCCAGATGCTGACTGTGGGGGTCTTCTTGCGGCTGACTGTGGGGGTCTTCCAGCAGCTGGTTCTGAGTCAAGTTCATCTTCCAATTTGCTGTCAAATTCTGAGTTTACCTCCACATTATCCTCATCTTCAGAAATGTCTTCCTGTCCCACTTCACCGTGTTCCTCTAATGCATTCCACTCACTCTCATCCATTATTAGCTCCAAGGCTCTGAGCAGAATATGTTTTGGCCATTTTGCTGGTAGATAATTGTAGTTCTGCACTACACTGTTACTACACTGAGGTTATGTCTCTGTTTAGTCCCTCCTCCAGCGTGCAGGTGCGAGGGGGGACAGTGCGAGAAAATGTAAAATGTGTATACATTTCTGGAAGATCTAAAATGTTTATAATGTAGGATAGTTTTGTGTACACACTACAAAGGGAAAAGAGGAACAAACAGCTTCTCTATGCATACGATTGTGTGTGTGTGTCTTTAGTTTGTGTGTTTCTGTGTGTGTGTGTGTGTGTGTGTGTCTTTAGTTTGTGTGTTTCTGTGTGTTTTTCTCTGTCTGTCCTGGTATTGTATCCGGGTCAGATTGACCCGAACCTCTTATGAAGGACATAAATGCGGGTGGGCATTTTTTCATAAGTGGAAAAAAACCAAAACAATTCCACATGTCCTTCACAATAAATAAGCCCCGGCCATTGAGTTTCAGGTTGAACGAAAATATCCTTGTATTTTTTTGTATTCATTGAAAATGGAAATCGGGTCAATTTGACCCGAACACCACACAAGGGTTAAAGAAAATGGCTCCTCAATTTAGATTTGGATCAGTAATGCTTTTATTAGTTGTAGCCTATTTTCCTGCAGATACTTTATAAAACGAATCAAATGGTTTTGCTTAACATTTTTTTAGAACCGTTAAATTCATATTGGCCAAAATAATACCCCACCATCACGAGGGCCTCTCCTCATTTAGGGGTTTATTCTAAATCCGTGACTATTTAAGGTCATGTTTTGTTTGTAACCTCTGATTTTGAAAGACATTGAAACTGTAAAATTACAATATTTCTGGACTGGTTGAACTTCAGTGAAAATATGACCTCAAATGTGTACTCTACTACGACAGCAAGACACTGGGTGTTTCTCAATGACGAGGACGCTTCCTTTGTAGCACATGTACCTCCGAGTCGGATGCTTCAGAAGCGAGGCAAGAATCCTTCCTAGCCTCGGAAAACGAAGAATGGTGGAACAGGCTAACGGGTGTGCATCATATGCGAGGCCCCGCTTTAAATGGAGCGCGATTTCCGGCAAAGATTTTAAGACCGGAGTCTACACATGTGCAGCCTCGAAATTTCCCGCTACAAAGTACGCCGGCCTCGGTAGAATTCCAAGTATACTGGACATTGGAACAGTCTTTGGCGGCACTCGATGACGTATGCTTGAAATAGTGGCTCTTGAGCAGCCTTCCTCGACATTGAGAAACACCCACTGTTTAGCTAACCGTGTATGTTTTAACTGGCTATATGTCCTTGAGCTTGCATTTGGCTGACATCAGAACTCTAGCAGTCACAGTACGGCAATTAAGCCCCAACATCATCCATTCTGACTCATCACTGCCAAAACTAAAAGCTCCACTTCAGCAGGTAATGAGGAAGACCCTGAGAGGTCTCCACAGGCCATTTAGACATCCTGCAAAGCGCCTCTCTGAGACGTCTCTGCATAATATTCAGCACTCTTTGCAGAAATGTGGATTTCCTAGGGATTTTCAAGGTCCCTCCTACTTTCCATTAACCTGCAGTCAAGGGAGTTGAAGGACAATTGTTCTCAGTTGAGCAACATTTCAAGAGATAATTCCTCTACCAAAGCAGAAAGTATCCTTTACTTGTGACAAACGAAGTCCTGAATAGAGATATGCACATGTAGCAGCAGCAGCAGCAGCAGCAGCAGGGTGAAGCCTGTGTCCCTGTGGCCAGAGGACAGCCATGGAGAGAGCCCTGCTTACATCACTGGCTCCAGAGCTGTGACCTCTGCCCCGCTGCAGAGCTGCAGTTCAAAGCTCCCACACAGCCCTGCTTTACATAATGCCCCCTCTGCTAAATGTGACCGTTAAAAGTGCAGAATTATGTCATTAATTGCTCCCGCCGCCCCATTCAGGTGGCTTTTGGTGTCCCAGCAGGCGCTCTCTTTATGGCCCTGTACATCTGCTCAAACAGCATCTCTGTGCACTTTTCATAAACGCCTGTCTGCACCATTCCCCGCTATTAGTTCAGTCCTCCATCATCTCAAATGAGCTCTCCTCAGAGCCAGGGCCCAATGAAGCAGGGGGTACAGGGGCACAGACTTTAAGAAGTGGGGGGGACATTTTACTCCACAAAAAGACACTGTTATTTATTATTTCGAACTGTTATAACAAATGCTAAACAATGAGCTTTTTATATGGAATAATACCAACCAATATCTGCTATTTGTGTCCTTTGAGTTCAAGACACAACGACTGAAACACAAATTGCTTTAGTGACACAGCTGCTTTCTTATTGTCGTCATTTTGTGTCCTTTGGGGTATTGCAAAATGTTTTGGTTGTGATTTTAAATCTCAAAACCGCTACAGTATCTGTCAGGCAGAAACTTGGGACAAGTAATTTGACTGAAACCTTAAAACTGAACTAACTGACTGCTCGGGTTAACTTTGATTTAAACATTTGTAGAATACTAAGAGCTTTATTGAGTAGGTGTAACTGTATTAAGGGTTAAACTCATAACTTTATAACTTAGGGTTTAATGTAATTGTAAAACCATTGGGCCACTGAAAAGACACAATATCAACTCAGGAGGGAGCCAGTCTTTCCTTTTGAGGGCCACCAGCTGCAGAGAGTTAACTAATTAAAGGGGCGTGTATGGAGTCAGATTTGGGTCAATATTCTAGCGCGTAAAACAAGCTACTCACGAGCGGGAAATGTGCTTTTACACGCGCATAAAATGACCCTCGCACGCAGATTAAAAGAGAGACAGCCCTCTTGCTTGCTCGCGGGAGTATCAGCCTCGCGGAGTCTATCTACGCGCGCGTGAAAAGTTTCTGGCACTTTGGGGCGGAGCCACTGGACTTTGATTGACAGCTGCCAGGAAACCCGGAGTTGCCAGGTTTGATAAATGCCTGAACTACCAAGAGCCGAGGAGTGACGGCAGCAAAATCAGTTGGACGAGATTGAATGGTAAAGTTGTCCATACAAAACTATTATATTCGTAAAGTGTACAGCTAATATATATATATATATATATATATATATATATATATATATATATATATATATTTATATAAATACATTTTATATAAAACAATATATTTTTGAGTGGGCTGTATCTGTCGAAAATTGCTAGCTACTGTCTGCTGTATACTCTTAGAAGGGATGTGTCAAAAATGACACAACATGTGTTGAATTTCAACACACCTACAGAGTGTGCTCAGGGACAACACGTGTTGTGTTTATTTATGTGGAAATCATTTTTACACACAAAATGTGTTACATGCCCCTAACACACAATGTGCACATTTTACACATTGTGTGTCATAAATGTGTAACCAAGATGAACACACTCATTTGTTATTTCTGCACATTTTGTGTTATATTTCTTTAACCAGAATTAACATTTGATTGTGTTATATCTGCACATTGTGTGTCAATGACGATTACTGGAAGTACCAGGTGGTGGATATGGTTTTTATTAAAAAAATCGAATGCAAGAATACATTCATTGGACATTTATTTACAAGGATTTCATTAGCACAATATGTCATTAAGAAAATAATTGTTAACATTTAAAAATATTAATATTTGTCTAATTCATCAAATGTTGACAGAATAGATCATTCATAAAATCACACCTAAAAAAACCTTATACCTTGGTTAAAACAAACTTAATCTTCAGCAAAATATTGTTGTAAATGACTTTCAGCTGAGGGAATATAGTGATGAGATTCTTCGCAAGGACCACCTTTTCAGTGTTGGATGGATAATTAAGGATAAAAATGAATGACAAGTGAGCTATTTATTTTTTATTTTTCAAAAAGAATACAACAGTTCTAGCA